CATGCGATGCTTGGGTGCCGGGGATAGGGTTTTGGGTTGGTGGCCTGGGTGGGTGCATGGGTGGAGTTGGGGTTTGGGATGCCGCATGAGCAATGGCATTCTCAGGTGAGCCGTGGGATTCTGCGACAGTATATAGCCAGGCGGTATCCCCACATGAAGGGAGACACATAACATCGCAGATTTCCTGTATCAGACCCCCAGATACCAAATACATCAAATTACCATCTACTCTAGTCTATCAGACACTACCACTTCACGACTACAATCACACACCTCGCATGCAACCCATCCTACCGACAACCATGTCTTCACCCGCAACTCAATATGTCTACGTCCCCAACCTCGTTGGCGGACAGATGCTCAGGATCCCCATCGAGGACGTCGAAGCCGAGGGCCAAATCTCCATTGCCCAACAGCCCATCGCGAGCCCAACCCTCTCTTCACGATACGTCCGCGACTCGTCACCATCGCCAAGCATGGAGAGCGTCGACGACACCGACGAGTAATAAACTCATACACCAAGGCGACGCACGAAAGACGAAGAAATGACGGCAAGCCTTGCACTGGTCTGCAGTCCAGCAAGGCGGAACTAGCTAGCAGCGGACGTCGTTGCCAAGCAGCCTAGTCGCAGCCTCGAATCCCCCACGAGTCAAACTCAGGGAGGACTGACATCATCGCCCCCCATACCCTCACTGCAATCGCAACCTTTCTTCCGAAATGACGACAGTCGGTGCCGTTGGTGCCGAGATGCCACCGGAGAAAACTTTCACATTGCGTGGAGTTGGCGTGTGGGGAACACGGCAAGCAAGGAGAGGATCTTTGGCTTGGCTGGAGTTGGAAGGAAGCTTGGGGATGTGCCGATCGGAGATGGATAGGGCAGGCAGGCACGCGTTGGCTTGGCGTGGGGATTGGGATGGATCGATCGGTAGTCTTGGTTACTTAATGTCTATTAACTAATTTTTTTGTGGTACTTTTGGTCACTTGATCTTTTCTATGCTGCATGAGGATGTGAATTGTGAATTGCGGTGTGCGTGTGTGTGTGCTCTGCATGCATTGACTTTGGGACAGTAAAAGCAAGTAGAAATGATATTCTCTTTCTTGCATATCACTATTTCCGGTGTGCATGTGAGACGTGTCGTGTATTATGTGCATCACGATGACGGGGAAGAGTAGCAGGGGTGCCGAGCCAACAGATGACAATACGTTGACAGCATCCAAGGATACCTTCCTACATCATTATCAATAAGGGCTTAATGTACTCTAGGGATGTTCACAATACTTGCAATCAACGTAGGTGGGAAACAGGTAGTACACTCATCCAGAACGAGCTTTTGGCTGAATCAGGACAACTTGGAAGAACAAGTGCTTCCTTTTCCACGGCCACCAGCGCTTTCATGCACGTCAACCAAAAAAAAAACTAAACAGGCCTGCAGCCTACATCAACTCAAAACCCTACAAGACAGGTGACTTGGAGTTGATGTAGGCTCTAGACCTGTTCAGATTTTTTCTTGTGTGAGGTGTATGCATAGTCATATGACAGATCAACTCCCCGTGTTCGTCTCCACTCCCCATGTTATCCTTCGTGAGTGACGTGTTCACCAGCCGTAAGCTCAATCCAAAATTCCAAGTCATCCGTTGCCGTGGACCTTGCTGGCATTGTCACTTTACCTGCCCACCTACCTTTGTTTTCTAACCAGAGCCTTTTCATCTCCTCATACACACGAAACACTTCATGTTGGATCGCCTGTTGGATCTTTCCCATATCTGCGGATGTGGTGGCGGTATTATCGCAAGGCGGGCGAATGTACTGATTCATGTCCAAGTCTGCCCGAGGTGCATCTCCCCAATCGCCCTTTTCCGGGTCTGGAAAAGCCAAGTCGCGTATGGATACCTTGAAGTAGATGGTTAGTCGTGTGAGATACTGATGGTACCGCGGCGCGGGAAAGAAGATACCGCCTTGCATGGCTAGTGGGTCGCGGAAGAACTTGGGCAATATGGGAGACGTTATGTGAGGCAAACGAATGTTCGTTGTCGATGCTGACTGTGCTAAGACGCTTTTACGAATGTAGCACTGAAATGAATTCTTTGCGTAGAAGAAGCTAGCAGCTTCATCGTGAAGTTGCGTACATGTTCTCAGTAATGCAATTCCCGTAATTTTCGTACGTATCATAGGAGATAGTACGATGCAGTCTTCGGGTTTGAGTAGATGGGCGTAAATGCAGTTGCGCAACTCGGGTGGTTTGCTAAGCAAGCTGTGTTTCTGAAGATCGACAGGGACACTCTTCGAGACAGTGCGCGATCGTCGTGCTGATTCCGTGCTATGATCTCTATTCGAGCAACGGTGCGTCCTTTTACTGATCTGTCCGGTCAGCTGTAATGGTGTCGGCTGCGCGACTGCAGTTGGGCGTACAAGACCGAGTGCTGACGAAGCTTGGTTTCCCATAGCAGTAGATCTGTAGATCAAACTTAGTACGGATGCAGAATAAGAGCGTCGCGTGGATCGTCTCTTCGCTCGTACTTAGAAAGGGCATACGGGTGTCGCCTTCCCACGAACCCTTAGGTAGGCATGCGCTGGATGCAGTCACCAGGGAAGCATTCCAAGGCAGTGCGTTGGATGCATTGTTGATAGCTAAAGTGGATCCTGTGAGTTAACTGGAATCTTTTCAGTTCCCCAAGGATGTGAAGCATTCGTTTCTCGGCCTTGCCCGTCGCGATGATCAGTTCGCAGTATGAGCTGTACTCTCGACGCTCGACAGACAACCTTGGAAGCCGCGAGGTCACATCCCATAGCTTTGCATTGACTATCGAGGGCTTTTCTTGTACAATGAAAGCTTCAGAGGATGTAAATGACATACAAGCCATCAGCATTGATATAACGAAGAGGGTGAGAATGTGGAGGGCTAGAGTGGCTGCTGGCCGGTTGAGCGACCCAGACAACCTTGGAACGCACGGACGGCTCACCAAGACACTCGTCTCGTTATTATAGACAAACTTTAGTCCGTCAACTCCCTGATGTCACAACCTACAGCGCTGGCAGAGCACTTGCGATACAACGGTACTATCATGAGCATTCTCGTTCCTCTCGGGCGCCGATACCTGACCAAGGGGTGCCGCGAGCACAGGACTGATTAGGCAACGACGAATGGCTATCGCGTAATTACTTCCCTAGATCAACTGTCGTCTACGCGCGTGGCATCGCACCTCAAGACGATATCTTGCTGTCATTTGTGTCATCGTCAAAGACGAAAGCCTCCCCTTGGTACGCAAACAGAACGAAGCCGATACACACCTCGGGATGTGGGCCACGTAGCGTTCACACCACCCGACGTGGAGCCCAGGTCGCTCGGGACAATGCGACCCATGCGGATAGTAACTGAACATGTAGTCGCAGCTCGGGTTAATTCTTCTAGAAGACCTAAGGCACTATCATGCATCCACAAGACGGCGCCAAGTCTGGGGTCAAGTCCGGGGTGGAACCTGGGGTAAACACCTCGTCAGTAATACAGCCATCAACGACGCTATGTCTTGAAGCGGCTTGAGGATAGCTATGCCTGATCATATTAATATCTTGGCTCTTAACCCTAGGTAGCTAGGTCGACCGGCTCCACATCTTGCGCTCGACTTTCAACGTTGTCATGACCCGAGGTCGTGGTGCATATCGTGCTGGACAGAGAGGCCAACAACGGGTGTACTGATGCGCTATAAAGACCAGTAACAACATGCTCAACATGCTCAACAGTGTCCAACCTCAGCCAGGAACGCCGACACCACAACATCAACCATGATCGCCCTCAACACCATCGTCGCATTCCTCCTCTCTTTCTCATCTTTCACCACCGGCAGTCCAACAGGTCGCCAGGCACCCACCTACCTCAACTGGAAGACCTTCAAAGCCAATGGTATCAACCTTGGTGGATGGCTTGCCCAAGAAGCCGTTATTGACCCAGTCTGGTGGTCGCAGAATTGCGGTACTACGACTGATGAGTGGACCTGCTGTGCCAAACTAGGATCGCAATGTGGCCCTGTCCTAGAGCGTCGCTATGCTACGTTCATCACACCCGCCGATATCGACAAGCTAGCCACTGCTGGCGTGAACGTCTTGAGGATTCCAACAACCTACGCTGCATGGGTCAAGGTTCCTGGCAGTAACTTCTACAGCGGCGGACAAACTCGGTTCTTCAAGAACATCGCATCCTACGCAATCGCAAAGTACGGCATGCACATCATCCTCGATATTCACTCCCTTCCTGGCGGAGTGAACGGTATGGGCTTTGGTGAAGGCGAAGGCCGCTTCGGTTGGTTCAATAACGCGACGAACCTCGACTATTCCCTACGCGCTGTCGATGCTGCACTGGCTTTCATTCAATCCTCTGGAACCCCGCAATCATACACTCTAGAGCCGATCAACGAACCGGTGGACAATCGCGACATCACCACCTTCGGCACACCAGCCGCGTTGACAGACAACGGTGTTGTATGGGTACAGAATTATATCGACGCGGCTATTGCGAAAACAGCAGCCGTGAACAGGAACATACCCGTAATGTTCCAAGGCAGCTTCAGAGGTGAAGCGTTCTGGTCTCCCAAGTTCCTAGCGTCCACCAATCTCGTCTTCGACGTACACAACTACTATTTCGCTGGCCGCCCAACAGACTCTGATACCGTGAGCGCAGACATCTGCTCAGACGCCAAGGCATCGGCAGGAGATGGCAAGTTTCCTGTATTCATCGGTGAATGGTCGATCGAGACGGTGGCGGACAATAAATTTGCAAATCGTCAGAAGAATTTGAACACCGGGTTATACGCCTTTGCAAAGTACACTAGGGGTAGCGCTTACTGGACCGCAAAGTTCTTCGGAAATGTGCCCGTAGCTGGCGAGGGAGTACAAGGAGACTACTGGAATTACTCGGCTTTTATCGATATGGGTATCGTTAAGCCTGGCGAAAGCGCAAAATATTGCTCCTAAAGGGTTACATATGTGGATCAGCCCAACAAATGACCTACATATCATGTAGCAAGGAGGCCACACTGACCCATGTGGACGTAGTTATGTTCGATAGCCGGCCATATGCAGAATACATTCTCTCCTCATTCTTGCCTGCGATAAATTCCATAACTACCAGCAACCTGAATATGTCAACAGTGATGGCGTAGAATCCAAGAGAGCTGCAGTGTGACAGAAAACCTTCCATCGTTCGCTCAGCTTCCCATAAAGCCTCAATACCCTCCCCCTGTCCAAGCATTAGCATACCTGTTCATCATCAATACACAAACAGGACACGATGCACTTACAAATCATCACATCAACCAATCTAGGTTTGATTTCCTCGACATCCTGATCAAGCAACACCTCCCAAAGCTCCATCACACTTTCCGCCGTCACCATGAACCAGCCAAAATACGGCCGTGGGTCCTGCCCTCTTCTCCTTGGGTGATGATCCGCAGCAACGTAGTCGACCTCGACACACTTGAGCCATCGTCGCTTGGTACTAGAGGATTTGCTGTAGCCGTGGTATTGGTATTGCCATTTCTGCACACTTTGAGAAGTTGCGTCGTCGCTTGTATCATTGTCATCGTTTACTTTTGGCGTCTCGTTCTCTTCCGGCAGAAAGTAAGGATCCATCAGAACTTCTGCGTCAGCGACAAGGAAGAGTCGCTCGCTTCTGTTGAAGTTCGGTGGGGGCACAGAATCTTCTTGTGGATTGAGATAGGTCTGGCGAAGCTGTTCCATAGTAAGACCGTCGTACAGGGAAGCATCGGAGCGGAAGTCTAGACGTAGGAGGGAGCGTAGGAGTTGAGATGTTGTCGGTGGCTCATCGTTTTGCGACCCAGGGAGGGATTTTTCGACCCCTAGCTGAGTGGCTTCAATTAGAGATTCCCATTGCGATTGAGATTCTGGCGTGTAACATGTGCGGTAGATGGTGTACCCCCAATTGTGATAGGAGTACGGCTCCTCGGCTTGGCCGTCCGTAGTTATGACCAGGTCGAGTAGTATGTCTTCGGGTTGCTGGATCATTGCGTTTGGATACCAGATAATATTTGTAAGAAGGGCGCGGGATCAGATATGTGGTGCTTTTTTGAAAAATAGTCTATTGGGAAATTGACTGCACGCGCAGAGTTTATACATGTCTGGGTAAATTCGAAGGATCATTTAGGTTCAAGGCAACGACGGCACTAACTTCTTACGAACTGGTTAGACGGGACTGCTACATTGACTGAGCTTTGCTCTTAGAATAAGTCTTGTACATTGAATATCCACATATACATGAGACAGAACAAATGAAGAAGCTTTCATAGATGCGCAAGCCTGTAAATGTCGTCCCAAATGTAGCACTGCTCCGTGGTCTCGATCAAGACCTCCTGAGTCAGTAACAGCCATCGCGACTACATTCTCCCACCGCCCGCGAGCATTAACCTGCCCAGGTATTCAATATGCCTACATTGTGCACGTAAGTAGAGGCGGTCATGCATACCGTGGCAAGTACCCACCTGCGAAATCACCCTTTTTCCTTAAAGCCTCCCCCACCTCATTTTCTCTGCGTATCCGCTCTTCTTTCTCCCTATTCTCCTTGCGTAATCGCTCTTCCTTCTCCTCTTTCTTCTTCACCTTCCTCGCCTTCTTCTCAGCCTTCTTCTCTTCCTTGGTCACCTTTGCTTCTTCCTCCTTCATCATCGTCTGGAACCCATCATACCAACTAGCATTGCCACTATCTGATCTATGCATGCTGTCTTTGCCCAGCACGCGATCAGTCTTGTCTTGCTGCCTTTTACGGCCACGATCCCACACTTGCCACATGTAGGGATCGTTTTCTAGTCCTGGTGGTGGTGTAAGCTGGCGTGGCTGTAGATTCTTCCGGAGTCGGTTCGTGCGCTGGAAGTAGGCTTCTGGGGTTATCTCACGGCCAGGGAAGATGAGGCTGGAGGTAGTGGAAAAGGCGGGCGATATGTTACGTGGTTCAGGTTGAAGAAAAGTAGAGGAATACTCTTGCAGGTGAATGTTCGGAACAGATTGCGTGGGGGTGGTGCGTTGATAAGGGCTAAAGGAGCTCTCTGATCGAGCGGTGGTTTGTTGCTGATCCGGTGCGGTTGCATCTGCACTGGCCCCTTCATTCGCGCTTCGCTTTCCTTTCACCCAAGACAGGGGCCTGACAAACCCCAGTGGCAGATACTTTCCCAACGAGGGTTCTGAGTCACGGCGGGTAACTTTTTTCTTGAGCTTCCGAGTCTCCTTCGAGTCTCGTGATGGAAGCACAGCGCTTGGTGCGATGGAGTGGGATCGAGGGTTCTTTTGCGGCCGGGCTTGAAGAACGGGCGGACACCAGTATCCGGACATACCCATTAGACCGACTGGGGCTTCTGAAGAAGGAGAGGTTGTAGAAGGCATAGAGGATGATGAGGCTGTCTGACCTGCAGGCTGATGCGCAGGGCGTTGGGTAGAGTGACGTGGTACAGATGTATGCCAGTCGGGTTCGTGCTCTTCAATAAAACGAGATGCGTTGTAAGTATGTGTGCTCGTACTGGGGCTGCCAGCAGACCCTTCGTAAACGTCGCTGACTGAGTCCTCACAGTCTTCTGATCTCAGAGCGTGCGACAGGTAGGACTGTCTATTGGTGGCTTGCACTACCTGTCTGGGTTCATCAGTTGCATATTTTGGTCTTCCTGATATTTCTATATCAGAGGACCGCTTACGTTAGGACTCTCCGTCTCCAACCTAGCTTCCTCGTCAGCCCAACGCACCCAGGCTCTCTGCTCTGTCATCCGCGACATTATGCTTGCTGCATCGTTGACTTCTTCCTTCTGCTTGATATCATGTTGTCTTTCTTCCTCCTTCTTAGTCGCCTCCCTTTGCCACATTTCCTCAAGAGTCAACCTCGGACTGTCCCCCACCACGTCGCCATATATCATCTGCGTTCTGCGCCTCATCTTCTTTATTGCTTTCTCGGTCTCTCTTGCGGCATCGATATAAAGTTCTTCGTCCTTGAAATGCACGGAGACTTGCCAGCCCCATTTCTGAAGGTCTTCGAGTATGCTCATCTCAGCGGAGAGGGGGTCAGCGAGCGTGTAGGTCAACAGCGGGTTGTAGGCGTCGATGGACCGCGCGGGTGGTTGGACTAGATACGGCATGTTTTCTTGCAAGCGTTGCGTACTGATGGGAAACAAGCGGAGGACAGGAAGCTTCTTATGCCGACGGGCGCATTCATGGTCGAGTAAAATGGCTACTATTGTCAACATGTTCGCATACTTCACGCTCAACATTCTCACACTCGAGATATGTCATTGCCAAAAACTCCAATTCTTGAATGTGCAACAGGTCGAAGACATGTTGCCATTGAATATGTCTATTGGGTATCATATGCTGTTATCGTCGGCGCAACACCATTCCACGGGACGTCGTTATCGTTGGCCGTACCCTCGTTCTTCGGTCCTCTTATGCGATAGAGCCAGCTTTCAGACGCTCTGAAGCGAGGTTGAGATGCGCGATATCCTGTAACGCGCGGTTCGCAGTCTCAGGACGTGATGCGCCGATTACGGCGAAGGCGTGAAGGTTGCAGAGTCACAGATTCGCTTTCCACATAGTTCCTATCACGGATGTGAGCATCCATCAAACGCGTATATGCTCGTTGTAGGAGTCGCGATGGCGTTTTTGTATTTGGTGTGGGGTGAGGAGTTGATGCTCAGGGAGGGCTCAAAACCATATCTTGATCAGCTCCTCTGACACGGCAGATGGAGTGAGAACACCAGACTCGGTGATGATGCCGGAGATCAAGTCGGGTGGCTACTTCAGGTTAGCGTATGGGGTCATAATTGAAGTAAGCAGAGCGTACCGTAAAGTCGACAGCGTCATGAGCGTCGAGCGGAACGACGGTGGATCTCTGCTTCGCAGTCATGTCTGCGATGGCTTCGTCAAAGACATTCCGTTGCTCTTCGTCGCTCTTGGGCTTGTGTTCTGCCTTGTGTTCTTCTGCGACCTTGAAGTCGAGTACCTTCTGCTCAATGGGCAGATCGAACTGGCTGAGCGGATATAGCCTCACGAACTTGTGACTCTCGGCGACCACGTAGAAAGGCTTTCCTTTGCTCTTAGCCAGTACGCCCAACTGGTACGTGCCCATGCGCGATATGATGCCACCGTTCTCGACGACGCCTTCAGCTCCGACAATGACCATGTCGACTTTACCCAGTGAGTAGGCGACGGCGGAATCTGGAATTGTGGCGACTGGTACATTGTGCTCTCGGAGGTCGGCGACAGTCTGGAGGCCCTCTTTCGCATCTGACGAGCTTGACGAGGGCAAGACGTATATGACCTTGAACCGGAGAGTGCTCGACTCGGCGGCCGTTCGCAGTAGCGCACCCACTACTCGCGATCCTCCATTTGTGAGCACCGTGCCGCCGTCACGGATGAAGTGCTTGCCGAAACTCGCGATCTTCTCCCTGCTCTGTTTCGCACGGTCCACAAACAGCTTGCCGTTGGAGAGGAGGTGGTTGCGTATCGCGCGGAAGTCGTCGTCGGGGCCGAGGTTCAGGCTCGCCGGGCGGTTGAGCGTCGTGATGAGGTAGCGCTGGAAGAGATCTGTGCCGGCGGAGAGAGAGATTGGATTCGCGATGGAGGCCTTGAGGGCGGCCGTGTGGCGTTCGAGCAGGTCGAGTGTCTCTGCGACGGTCGAGACGGAGCTCTGCGCGATGGCTTCTACGAGGGCCTCGATGGCCGCGACGGGCATGGTGAGTTCCGGGTCATCTTTGAGGATGCGGCGGTATGTCGCTACAATGTCGAACGTCGACTGTGTCTTGACTCCGGATTCGGTGCTCATCTTGGCGGTTGGTTGCAGCGTGTCGGTCCCGGCAACTTTTTGGCCTGCAACATTTTGGAGGGGTGCTTCGCGATTGAGTCATTCGCCAAGATTGGGGGGCTAGCTCGTCATCCCTCTCCAGGCGTTCACCCTTCGACGCGCCAAACCACTCTTGCCATGACTTTACACTGCTGCATGGGTTTTACTGTATTCATCTCATACCCTGCTGCTCTAGAATCTAGGAACTGCCGGACGACTGCTTTTACCCACTTCAACACCATGGCAAGTATCCATCCGCAATCGCCTTCACTGCTTCGGTATGAAGCGGTTGGTGTAATCCTCCGTTTGCTACGGAATCTGCAATCATCGGATGCCACTTACCCATAACGATGATATGGCCCGCTATGTTACGATACGTTGATCAAACTCACCCTCCGCTGTGACTGTACATTACCTGAAGAGCCAGATTCACTCAACGCCAACACGTACTTTCCGATCTTCGGTCTTCTCACTGATAGTGCTCTCACTTTAGCAAACAATCAGTTACATTCGTATACGGTTACCTTTTAGCAATCAAAAGGCCGCAAGGTATCTCACTGGCATAGCTACACCTACTAACTACAACAACCAATACTGCTCCAGGAAAGTTACGATGCCGTACATCATCTATGTGCCCGGAGTCCTGCAACCCTATATCACCAACGATCCGAGGATCTATATGGACTGCTTCAAGATCTTCGAGTGGGTGTGCGAATCACGACCCTTCTGCGATGCATTCTGCAAGGCGTTCCGGCAAGACGAGGATGAGCAGTTCCTGTCCGACAGGCGTCGCGGCCAACTTGAAGCCTACTGGATCGAGGAGCTCAAGCGGCGGACCAAGCCGAAGAAAGGGCCTGTCTTACCGGAGGGGGACAAAGGACTGTCAACTGAAGTTGTAGTCGAAAAGTTGGCGGAGCATGACATTAACGAGGCTGTGTTATCGGAGATCAAAGACCGGGAAGAAGGTGCACTCTGAGAGTTCGTGAGTCTACGTGGTCCTCACAGCCCTCATCACCAAACGCCATCTATGGTACGTTCCCACCTTCTCGTTCTTGGGCCTTGCTAAATCAGATAGTAAATAACAACATCCTGACCTCAACCGTCCTCGCTTATTACACAACACGCTTCATGACCACATTATACTGCTTTTACATTCTTTAGTCTCAACGGAGGCGGTGTTCATTCACAGTTCCCTTCTTATCACAAAACACAACAGCGTACTGTTGCGCCAATCCGAAAATGCCCTCACTTTGCGACCCATCGGAGTATTTGCCCAGTCAGCAGATACCACCAAGGCCGTCTATCAACTTCATTACCTACGACCCTGTTTCCATTGATATACCTATGGAGGCCTTCTACCGCGAGTACCGGGTAGATTCACCGGGAAGGATAGTGAAGTATCGCTACGTTACTACGCCATCCGCTGTGGCGTGCAGAATCACAGTCGTTTCGCTTTCTACCATCATAAACTGGCGAGCGGATATCTCCGAACTGGCACCCCCAGGTGCTCTCTTCAACAAAACAGATGGTCTGTACTATCAAGACGAGGTCGTTCAATCACAAGGCCAAACGCCACCCGACGACAAGCCAACGTTCGAGTCATTTGTTCGACGAGTAAACTCACATGCTCCAACTACCGTACGGAATCCACCGATGGCTCATGACGAAGTTCAGTCCGCCGACAAGCCAACGTTCGAGTCATGTGTTCGACGACTGAAGTTACATTTTTCCACTGTCGCACAGCATCCACCGATGTCTCATGACGAAACTCAGTCCGCTCCCGGCTTCGTAGCAAACCATATCCAAAGCACTGCGGAAGGTCCCTTGTCCAACGAGCAGCTCCACACGACTCCTTCGGGCAAGAAGGAAGGCCACAAAGCCGCCGCAAAAGGTCCCTCAAGATATGCGTCGCAGTCGGCAGGAAGAGCTCTCGCCGAGGAAGTTATTGGACACAACTGGGTTAAGTCCGGGCCAGGAAACAGGCGCGCGCATGGGTCAACGACTACACCACCCGGTTTACGACGTGGCAGGAGTGCAGTCGATGAAGGATCTCGCGAATGACCGGCCCCACGAAGCATCGTACGGGACATATAATGACAATCGTGCCTGTGGGTTATCGATAGAAAGAAGTTGCATCGAGATGAAGCTGGGCGAGCAAGATGTCGATGGAGTGTGTTGTGATCAACACCTGGGCATGTCTCGCACAGATGAATTTAAACGTCTACACACTGCATTTTCATTTCTGATGGTTTCCTAGTCCCTCTTTAATGTAGACCAGAATGCAATTGATACGGCGGTTGCTCAGTACGCACATGAAGCGTCCAATTCGTCTCTCACACAGACGCTCAGCTAGATAGAACAACAATCACTTGGCGTGCCTGCAGACAGACCAACAGACAAAAAAGGCCGGTATAAGTGTTAGCGAGTCATCGCGATATCTGATGCGGCTGTGTTTGGCGATGACGCACCTTGCACGGCACTCGCGGGTCTGTCCGTGGCTCCACAGCGCTCAACGTCATATGCATGCGCCAATGGAGCAGGAGTTTTCAGAAGACCCTGAGCCTTTTAGCAGCCGAGCACGCGACCTCTTACCTAAACGAGCGTCACCAAAACAGGACGCGAAGCCTGCAACATAGATTCTTTTCCGCTATAACCATATACGCAATCGTCCATAGAAGAACCGTCTTGTCTACACATATCTCACCAACGACATTGACCGCGATTCCGGTGTCGCGCTCATCTCCAATCAACTCAGCATCAACAACATGGCTATACTATCAGACATCGCCTCAAAAGTCAAAAACACACGACTCGTTCCACCCACCGAAGACGAACTATCCGCGGCCAATGAGAACAATCAAGATTCAGCTCCCTCTCAAACCCAAAAAAGACAACGACCAATCCTTGAAATAACTTCCTACGACCGCTTCACACCACCATCTCCTAGACCAGACCTAGAATACGACTGCCGCGTAACTGAGAACCCGTCTCGCCAAATACGAAAGACATGCACGGGCCTCGACTCGACGCTGCAGGACGAACTCATGCAGCGCGAGTCTTTCAGTGATACAGTGGCCCGCGCCGAGGAGGATATTAAACGGCTGATGGAAATCAAGGATGTAAGAGCTAGTAGGGAAGAGGAAGTGGCGATAGTACGAGTAGGATGTCTATGTGGAAGTGGACATCACAGAAGCGTGGCTTTTGCGGAGCAGTTGGGGAAGGTGAAGTGGAGCGAGGATGATAGCTGGGAGGTTAGAGTTGTGCATAGGGATTTGACGAAGGGAGTGGAGGAGATGAAGAGGGTGAGGGGGGAAGAGAGCGAGAAGAAGGAGAGATATAGGAGGGCGGATGCAGAGAGAGCTGGGGAGTGAGGTGTGTAGACCGGGATGGATGTAAGGAGTATTGTGATATAACATTATCACGGCATTACCTATCGCTAAGCATTCTCTAGCAAAGCTCAGCCCCGAGATAACCAAGAATGCCTCGGAAGCACAACCGCAGTCATCCCATCAGTCTCTCCACCCGGAGTCCCCTTCGCATCAGCACCATCAGCACCACCGCCTCTCAGCCCACTCGACGGGCGCTGCTCGTCCTCGTCTTCATCATCCTCTCCTATGACCTCATGAACATCCGAGAAAGGATCAAGCATCCCCGACATCTCCCTCATCTGCTCTTCAGCCCACTTCCTCATCCTCTTCTCCTCTCTAGGACCGTGGTCAATCCTCAGCCTCTGCTCATCACTCCCAACCCACCCATCTTTACCCCAAACCTGCCAATGCGCTTTCTTCACCCCCCTTACCACACTCCCCAGCCTACTCTTCCCAGCAGCCGCCGCAGCCTCAGCCTTCTTCTTCTCATCCTCCCCGTTAATCCTCAGCCCATGTTCTCTCTGCCAAATAACCCAGACATCGTCATCCCAGGTGTTCTTCTTAGCAAACTTTTCATATTTGGCGAACCACTTCTCCATCTTGGGGAGCGAGCGGTCGGTGTTGTAGAGGCGCCAACCCCATGCCGCACAGTCTTTTGCGATGGCGGCATTGCGCGTTGTGAGGGTTTCTGTGGAGGCGGGGGTTAGGAGGATGTATTGGGCTGTTGTGGTGGGGTGTCTGTTGTAGTGGAGGACGTAGGAGCTTGTTCGGTAGTAGGGTGGGATCTTGACTATGAGGACCATGGTTGCTGTTGTGAGGGGGGTTTGGGTGGTGAGTGTTTTGTTCTGGTAACGGAGTATGGATAGAGGGGAGTTAGATAGGGATTGAGGTTTAGAGTGCTGCGGTGGACAACGAGAGGTAGAAGAAAATGTTACCCTTCACCGATTGAATGCCTACATCGCGAGGCTTCTCTCGTTACGCCCTCGGAGCATTCACGCACATGTACGTGACCTCTTGCGTCTTTCCAATATCAGCAGGCACAGATCAACTATGCGAGTGAAAGTGCACTGTGCGTTGAAGTCACCAACCCCGAACGTGAACACACAGAGACTGCATGGAATCTCTAACACGTACTCGCATTTCCCCACCCACTTACACAAGTCCCACTCTTCTACGACCCCATGCATCCAATCAAAATGAACGACCGCCATTCACACAAAATACAATACCTCATCCACCCACCCCGGAGAACCGTCGTCTTCACCACAGACAACCCTTTGATAGCAGACGTCCTAAGGAAGCGTCACAATTGGCTTGGCCGCGTCACAGAAGGTAGCACGCTTCCAGCGTGCATCAGCACTTCATGTATACGGGAGCTTGATGATGGTAACGTTCTGATCGATCATGAGGTTGCAAATGGTGATCTCCTTGCAGCAGATATACGGTCTCTGCTCGTACGAAAAGGGTTTGTGGAACCGGATTTACGCTTTGTTGGGCGTATGATACGGTCTAAGTCTAAGAGAGAGGTTGTGCCTCCGAAGTATACAGAAAAAGCGGCTAGTAATCATGAAGAGGAGGTTGATTTCTGGAGCGACGATGGTTTGGATGAGGCTAAGGGGGAGATAGATGTTCGGGAAAAAGATAATGTGGACATGGATAGAGGGGACAAAGATTATCAGGAGAGAGATATCCAGGAGAAAGATATTCAGGAGAAAGATGGTTTGGATGAGCCTATCACTGCGGTATCTTGATGCAGAGCGGCCCTGAAAGCAGCAAGAGGCGGTCAGGTGACTCTATACAGTGCGCTATTTAGGTGAAATGGAATGTATTGTATATTTTAGGCCTTCAAATGAAACGAGTGCCGGGAGGAGACATGGATCTGGGTATCATTGAAATAAAGGAACAGAAGATGATGTAGTTGGCAGGCCTATATAGACCAGCCTGCTTTCTTCTTAGCGGCCTTGGTAGTCATGGTGGGTTCCGAGGGTGGCGGTGGCTTGATATCCTTGAGATCTGGCAACGGGTCGTTATCCCTTATCTCCAGTATAGTCATCTGTGCGGCTAGAGTCGGCTGCCCATCTGCAATCGTATCGCCAGGAGCAGACACATCATCGCCTACCGGGCCACCTTCAAGGGAAACGCCACCGTCTTCTTCATCCTCGACTTCTTCATCCTCGCCTGCCTCGTCACCATCATCGTCGTCGTCCACCCCTTCTCCGTCTGTTCCGGTGGGGATATCTCCGGCGTCGCCATCGACACCATGCTCTTTCATGTACAATTCTAGTTCCTTGGCCATTTTCTTGCTGAAGCCGGAAGCTTGAACCTCAACATCTAATCGCTTGACGAGCTTCTTCGTGGCGTCCTTGAAGAAAGGACCCGGCTCGTCGCTCGTGAAGCCAAAACGGCGATCGAAGAAGCGCTTTATGCAAGCCACATCGCGGTCAAAGTAGTATTCGGCGTTGGCATGGTCAATGGAGACCATCTGCGGGAAATCGATGAGGGTGGGCACCAGTGACAAACTGCCGTCTTTTTCTGTTCTCTCTTCAACTAGGATGTTGAACTCGTTGAAGTCACCATGGATGAGACCGTGCTGCGCGAGGCGAACGAT